TATTATAGAAGTTTTGATAACTGTAAAAATTTTTAAAATCTATATTATCAAGTATATTATCTACCTAATGGTTACCAAGTGTCTGAATAAGTAGTTTTTCAAAGATAATATATTTGTTGTTAGTTAATTTAGGAGAATTTGAAAGGGTTTTCTGATTGATAATTTATTGATTATCATTTTGTTTAGACTTGATAACTTTAACAAAGGTAATGTTTTTATGTATTGAGTTTCTTTATAATTATTTTTTTTGGAATTATGTAATTGTTAAATTGAGTAGTTGAAACCTCTGATATAAATGCTACATATTATAATCTTTCATAGTTTGTCTTCTTTAGGGTAGGACAAAACATTATAATATAATAAGAAACAGATAGCATATAATTTTTTTTGAATCGATTTATTTTAGATGTTTTCTATTTAAAAAAAAGTTAAAAATAGTTTTAGCTGTCTTACAGAGGGCTGCTATTGTAAAGTAAAAGTAAGCATGTTGAAAGTAATTATAATTTGATCTAGCATGAAAAATAATCTATGCTAAGACTTCTATTATTTGTTTAATATTCAAAAGGTCATGTGCAGTGATATTTCTTGATAAGTTAGTGAGTTTAATCATGTATTTAGATTTATCTCAGATAACACTATGAAGAGCCTATATTTGTGAAAATGAATCATATCATTTAGCAAAAAATACCATTCTCTTTGTTAAGTTCAAAGAAGTTAACTTTATTGTCAAAAGTGATAGTTGCTCTTTACCATAAATTATGAATTTTCATTGTAATTCTGGTAATGTTTTCATATTTGAAAAATAATTTTTTAACTCATAATTTCATAATTTCATGATGTTTAACAGAATTTCAGTCACTGTGATAGAAAAATCAGATACATATGAGGCCTAACGTTTTAGTGGTATTTGCACTTTGCAGAAGTCGTTACATTTTTTTTGATTCAAAAAGGCAATTTTAAGTATTAATTGTGCATGATCTATAAGGGATTTATCACATATGACTTCTGAAAAGGAGAGGAGATCTATGAAATATTGATCGATAATGTTAGCGATCTTTTGTTGAAGAGTCATACCTTTGTATTTTTCAAGAGAACAGTATGTAAAAAAATTTGCAAAGTTTTCAGTTTAGTAAAAGCTAGGATATTTTTTTCTGTAATGATAATGTTTTTAGTTAGGTCAAAGCTATCATCAACATTCATACTACTAGTTGGGTTATTATCTTTTAGTGAAGAAACATCTTTATTCTTCCTTTATTAATAGTTAGAAGGGTCACAACTGGAATGTTGTCAACTTCCATATTATTTTCTGAAGTTGGTTCAACTGTTTATGTTGTATTTTGTTTCTTTGGGTTTTTATTTCTGCTATTATTTAACATTTTATTTGAAAGTAAAAAGAGCTTTATATTTTATTTTTTTATTATTTTATTTTTTTTTTTAGAAATTGATTAAATTAAAAAATATTTACTAAAACTATTATTAATAAAACAAGTAAAATTATTTGCAAAAATTACTTATCAGTTTTACTATATAAGGTAATGAATATCAATTAACATTACCTAAAGGGTGTAATAAATAATGTCATAAAACAATCCAATTTTAAATTGTGCTTATCAATTCTAATTTGAATATTGTTCCTAAAATATGCCTTTTTTTTCAAATTTAAACTAATTGAACTAATTAATATAATTATTATTACATATAAACGCATTGTACTTGTTCACTCATATGGGCTTCAACAAGGTCATTTGCTGATGATAGAGTTATTTTTCCTTTTTCAATCATTCTTTGAGCTACACTTGTGACGGCATGCGGCGGACAACCGGCCGCAATTGCAACATTTTTTGCGTGTAGGCTCATGTGTCCACGTTGTATACCTTCTGTGGCTAATGCACGAAGAGCTGCAAAATTTTGAGCAAGACCTATACATGCCATTGACTAAGGATCAAATAAATGAATTATTTAGTAAAGAAAAAATTAAATATTTATTTTGTCAAATTTTTTTAAGGAATTTACCATAGCTAAGTCTCGCGAATTTGGATTTCCCATTATTCCCAAATTATATTCATATACTTTATTGGTTTTAAGAACACCACCAACGGTACCAACCATTATAGGTAATTCCAGTTCGCCACAAAACATTAAACATTCATCATCGCTCTTGCCTGTTGCAGCTAACTGTTCATCCTTTTCAATCCAATAGGTAGTTAAAGGTCTATAACTATTATCAGACCGAGAATTATGAGAATTATCAAGATCAATTCTTACACCATCACAAGCCCACGCATGAACAGCGGCTTCAATAGCACGCCAATCTTGACCGGTAGCTATAGCAACTGCATCAATTCCATTCATGATTCCCTTATTATGAGTAGTTGCCCGGTAAGGGTCAACTTCTGCCCATTCATAAGCTTCGATAATGCGTGCAGCTACTTCTTTGCCACTTAACGATTTATATGCAAGCATAGGTAAAGGTATACGAAATGACGCCTATAAAGAGGGTGTGAATTTTAATTAGAGCAACATAAGAGAATATATTTCTGTTGATAATTAATTACCTTAGACATCCTTTCCACATTCAAATTACTAACAATTCGTAAACCAATTCGACCACCAGAAAGTTCGGCAAGGAATGGAGCTACGCCCTCCGCCACAGTACTAGCACAATTTGCACCCATAGCATTACAAACGTCAATCGTAATGTGAACCACTAACCATTCTCTGAAATTGGCTGAACTTAATGTGAAATGTTTTCGATTTCTATTGGCTTTGCGTGGTATTCTTCGAACATTAATATCTAATACACCACCACCCCGCTTTACCATATTATCGCAATAGTTATTTGCACGTTTAATAATTTCAGATTTGCTTCGTGATATCTAAAGAATCAAGTTAAGTTAGTTTTAGAAAGATCTGTAGAAATCAAAATTTTTTTACACACGTACCTTGTCTATGGCAGAATTCATATTCTCTTGTGAGATATCTAAAAGACAGACTTGAGCCACTATAATGTTTGTCACAGGAGCTGTTGCCTTAAAACCATTATAAGCAGATACAGTTTTAGCAGCCCCAGAAACTCCCGCGATAACTGATGGTTCTTCAATTGCCATGGGTATTATTATAGGTTTTCCGTTGATTATGAAATTCAAGGCCAAACCAACCGGTAATCCAATAGTTCTAAATTTCGGAATGAATTGATCAGTGCATAAAATTGATTCACTTCACTTTTAAAATATGTATGTACATACCCCACACAATTTTCAATCATATTATCCGCTATATTTTCATCAAGCCCATTAATCGGAAACGATTTTTTATCATTATTTGCTACGGATTCTAATTTATTTATTAAATTATTAAGATTATTATTGTTAAGTGTAGAGAAAGAATTTTTATTTTCGTTTATTTCGGAAGAAAAATCTACTGATATAGGTGAACTACATGGAGAAGTATTAGGTGTAACATATACAGAAGAGACGACCGAACTAGAAGGTTCTGATGAAGTAAAGACTCGTGGAAAGACCAGCTTTAGTTGAGTTTGACGTTCATGCAAAGTCTTTTTATAAAAGCCTGACCATTTTGCTTGGTGAACTTCAGGTTTTGCAATTAGCTCGGACATTAATGGTGATTTGATTTGTTCCCAAGATTGGTCGGCTTTTTTTACAAAAAAGAGCACAACTTTTAATTGAAAAAAAAAAATCCAAAAAAAAAAAAACAAAGGATATTGAAATACATTGAAACGATATTTATAGTAATTATAGGATGCAGTTTATTTGATGCAATTGGTTGGTTTCATGGGTTGCTGCGACATAAATCATAAAATCATTAATTGTAGATATTATTTCACAGATGGAAGAAACCACTTTTGAAGTTGACATTGGCAAAGGGTTTAACCTTAGTGCCGCACTTTGCTTAAAATCTAATGCACCTTGTGAGAATATCGTAATTGTGTGTCACGGTCTTTTAAACACACGACTTTCAGAAACCGTTCGTACCGTGGTTGAGAGAATTCCATATCACGCATTATCCTTTGATTTTCAAGGAAACGGATTGAGTGAAGGGACAACAAGTTGACAATCTTTATTTTTTTCTCATTTGAAATGCAAAAATTGAAAATGATTTCTCAAAATAAAATCATTTTCATTAAGCTTACGGGAATTATGAAGAAGAAGTTGAAAATGTTCGGTGTATAGTTTCATATGTTCGAGAGAAACTCGGACGCAAAGTATTATGCATTTGCGGTCATAGTAAAGGAGCGGCAGTGACGCTTTTATACGCGTCAAAATATTCTGATGTTCCATTAATTATAAATATTTCAGCTCGATACGACCATACACAAACTCCACCCGGTCGCTTTAAACCGGAACAACTTGAAGAATTAAAAACAAAGGGATCTTTTGTTTGGCTTAAACACCGTAAAAAAGATTATGTCATTCGACAAGAAGATATGAATGCGAGTTTAAGTTTAGATATGTCAGTTGTAAAGAATATTGATAAACGAAAAGTAAGAGTGTTGACAGTTCATGGATCTGAGGATGAAATCTGTCCTTTAGAAGGATCATACACTTATGATTTGTTAATTGGTCCCAAACCATATCATAATTTAATGGTCATTCAAGGTGCTGGTCATCTTTATAAAGATGTGAATCATAAGACTATTTTGGTTGATAAAATAACAGCTTGGCTGAAAGAATTTGAACCTTGGTCAAGCAAGCTTTAAAAAGATCCTTGAATTTTTTTTTTTTTTTCCTGCTCCAACATTTTATTTTTAAAGCAAAAAATATATATAATGATAAAAAATAATTAATTGTAAAAATAAATTAAATATATAAAATTATGTAACAATTTTTAAACAAACTCATTATTTATACATATAATAAAATATAAAGTTGTAATCACTAAAATTTCCATTCCATTTCTTATTCTATATAAATATCAGAATGCAATATTCTGATGATGTACTTAATAAACTAATGACATATTGTATAATAATAATATATTCATCACTATTAATTATCATGAAAAATGTTGAGGTGTAGGGAAGGATATTCCAGGATTTTGTCCTTGTCCTTGACCCTGACCCTGTCCTTGTCCCTGACCTGGAGTCGGAAATTGTGGTTGTGGAATAGAAATATTCGGTGGAGGACCTGGAATCGGTGGAGAGGCATAAGGTTGCTGGTAATTTGTCGGTGAGGTTGGAACAGGGGAAGGTTGAGGTTGTGGGTGTGGGTAAGGGTATTGTTGAGGTTGCTGTGGTGTTGGATGTATAGTTTGCATTGGAACATTTTCTTGTGTTGGTTGAGTAGCTGTGTCAGATAGATTATGCTCTAACGTTGAACTTGATGTATTAGATGGTCTATTATCCGGGAATATAGTCGGACCTTGTGTCGCCGGTTGACGTCTATTTTTACGCCAATCATTTGCAATTAAAACGAGGGAACATAACCAAGCTGTAAGAGCGAGCCACCCGAAAGCATTAGCAGCTCGTTGAGTTCTACAGATGTTTGGTAACCCTTTGATAAAAGTTTCATTATTTGGTCCACGATTGTATTCTGCATATTTTTGATCGAAAGGATCACACTTTCTTAATAAAGTTGCATCAATGGTTAATAAAAATGTCACTATTAGTATGAGTACTGCCCAAATTGCTGAAAGTACAAATTCTATTCTAGGGATTCTTAATGCTCTTGCCGCACTTATAAACTTTCCCTTTGTAAGATATAAATGAGGAATAACTACAATTGCTGCAGCAAAAAATATTGATATAATTAAAATGAAAAGGAAAAACACTGATAATAAGCTAGCAGAAAAAAATTTATTATCCCATCCAATAACCGCTGAAATGGTGGCCATTGCTATGAAGGCAAAAAACATTTGAAGCCCTCGTAAACCCCATTGAAGCTTTGTTATAGGTATTTCTAACTTATCAGTTTCATCATAAGCCATGATAATATTTTAAATTTTCAACTTTTGGACTTTTGATAAGAGCGAGTTCGGGAGAAATGAAAAAAAAAAAAAAGAAAATTTTCCCCTTTAAAAATAATTTTACCTTTTTGTAGTACAATGAGCCACACACAAATACAGATCAACATATTTTACTTATGATGACACCGCCACAAAATAAATTTTGCTAAAAATTCTTTCCGACTTTCCGTCTATTACACCCTCGCCTTAACTGACACCGGGATCGTTCTTTTTGATTCAATTCCTGGTTTTAATCGCTTGAATTTTCTTTCCTTTTCTCTCCCTTTTTTTTTTTTTTTTTTTTTTTTTTTTTTTTTTTGATTTTATTATTGTTGAATGATGTTCCACTTTTAGAAAATAAGTAAGACAATATTTTAATGTAAAATCATTTTACAATTATATTTTTATTTTAGCCCAGACAAAACTAATTGGCTTTTTTGAGTTACTACTTGCGTAACGATCATATATATATGTGGCTTTAAAGAATATTCCATTGCCTCAAGATAATCACGTCATATATCATCTTTGATTCTCACGTGAATTTTTTTTTTATTTTAACGTGCACATTTGAATCTCACATGATTTAAAATTTATTTATTGGATTTATCACATTAAGACTTATTAAATGGTAGTATTGATTGTTAGGCTGATTTATAGTTGAATTACTTGTCTGATTGGCGTCTTAATATATATTAATAATTATAATAATTATTAATTTTAAAAGTTTACTATTAGATACATCATAATATGATAAAATTTTATTTTATCTTATTATAATCATTAGACATCAAAATATTTTAAAAATTTTAACTTTTTTTTATAATAATTTATTATTTTTTTTAAATTTTTACTTAGAAAACATCATAAAAAAGTATTAATTTTTTTAATAATATATTTTAAAATATTTTAAAATAATTAAAAATAATTGTAATTAATAAATAAAATTGCTTGCAAATTTGTAGGCAAAACAATTAAAAGAATATAATTTTTTATAAAATTGAATTAATTAAAAAGTAAACACAAGAAATATTTTATAAACATAAAAAATAAATTAAATTCAAATTATACTATATATTATATTACTATAAATATAAATAAATAATTTTAATAATTTTATTATTATTATAAAGTTATATGATAATATAAAAAAAATATATATATATTAAAAATATAATTAATATTATTAATTAAAATACTTAAAGTTTAAATAAAGTATATAGCAAAAAATACAAAGACAAGTAATACAGAATTATAAAGATATTTATTTAACAATACATGATTATATTATTTGTTTAAAGCTTATTTATATTGTTATACAAGTCAATTGCGAAGTCTACTGACTGAAAAATAGACTTCAACATGTATAGCAACGTTTTAGGTATCTGAAGGATAATAATTTATGTTAACAATCCTAAAGTCTTGTTGGCGTCAATAGATTTATCAATGTAAATCACTATAATCAATGTATATGTTTATATATGTATGTATATATATGGGAGAGCAATAATGATGAATTGGGTTTTATATTATGAGTTTAACTAATTAAAGTTATAAGGTAAAAGGTTGGTTTATTAATTAGAGAAATTAGGATCAATACCATTCAATAATTTATATAAGCTCTTGTTCGCGAACTTACAAAATTAAAGAATAAACAATATACTAAATTATATTAAAACTGTATTAGAATAACTATCTAATAACCACTATCAAGACTATCTAGCTTGATCTTATAAATGAGTAATTATCTGACTTGTAATTCACTCAAGACTAACTTAAACTAACTGATTAACTGACTTAAAACTGACTGATGAGAATACATGAAATTCCTATCCTATTTATACAAAACTTTGGATCTAATTCTATTACTAAATTAAGATAAAGTACAACTTAATAAACTACAGAAACCTTGTAAACATTGTTAATTTAATTAACAAGTTTAACTAAGTAAACCACATTAACTATGTAAACATATTTAATTTTGTTAACAGCGTTTTTTTTTTTTTTTTTTTTTTTTTGAATTTTAACGATGTGGTACTGCTACGAGTTTATTAAAAAGATTTATATTTTAAATGCACTAACTATGTAAAACAAAGTAAATAAGAAATCTAAACTAAACCGCAGCTACCCTCGTGACTCTATTTCAAGCCTGTTTGAGTTGACCAATCACCAGCTTTCCCCTCTAAGAAGTCCACTAAGATCACTCTTAATGAACTACTCATCAACGAAAAAAGCAAATGAGATTGTCAATATCATAACGCTATTCCTTTAACTAACTACTAATCCCCTAACAAAAACAAACAAAAATTTTCACTCTCCAGTAAGCACGAACCCGAGATTAGCTTCTGAAAAAAGAAAGGTTAAAAAAGATAACTAACTCTAACAAATTCCTAGCTAAAATGCCTAGTTAATTTCAAGTTACAGCGACCTCTCACAACAGGAGCGCCCAAAACACTAAGTTTCATCAGAGGCTTTTCGGATATCTCAAACTTCCATGTTGATATGTCTGTCAATTCAGATTACAGCCACTGGCAAAAGCACAGAGCCCAAAACACACAGTTGTGAGAACTGGAAAATTCCACTAAGATTGGCAGACTCTATGACGTTAGGAAATCTTTAAAAGAATGTTGTTGTTTATGAAGGTGATTGGATAGTCATCACGTGAGATTTGTTTACGTCCAAAGATATGTTGATCCTGATCATCATTTTAGATACCCCTTGATGCCTACTTTTGTAGGCAAAAAAGAAAAAGGAAAACAAATGAGAAAAATATTCGAGAGAAGTGGCGAAAAAAATATTTTAACAAAAAAACACCACTGTTTGGACTAACAACGAAATATTTTTTGGTTGAGGGTATGGGAATAAAAAGAGGAAAAAGTTTGAATAGGGGAGTTTTGTTTTTTGTTCGCAGGCTAAGCCGTAGCCACCCTTGAACGTACACGTTTTTTACGTAAAAATTCTTGGACAAAATCTAATGAGTAAGAAAGAGTAATTTCGTTCAATTTCGTTAACAGCGTTACCATCGGATTCATCGTTATGATAGTTTTCGTCGTTTCCATCATTTTCGTAATTTCGGCCGGACGATTGCTAATTCGCGTTAAGGAATTATGGCTCCGTTTAGCAATGATCTATAGAATTATTCTTTTTGAAATATCTCGTTATCTATTGGTCCAATCAGGTCGAACTTATATTCGTTGAAAAGCTCTCGTCAAGATGGTTCTAATGATACTATTTTATCAAAATGTTGATTATTAGTTCAAGAGTTATTCCATTTAACAATGTGACACTGATGAGAAAATACCTCAAGAAAAAAAGTGTTCAGATGGATGCCCTCGAAACATTGATTTTTAGTTACCTAACACTCAGATTTCTTGATTGTGAAGATTCTTCATAGTTGTACTTATAATCTATAATATAATAATGCGATAACAAACACGTTCAAAAATACGAGCTAACTTTCTATTTATTTTCCCTAATGAATAAATTAGTTAAAAATATTCAATAAGTTGTATTGATTCAGAATTAATGTTAGACGATATTATGTATCACAAGAACAAGTAATTACATGCAATTTATTCTCGAACTTTTCTGTATACTCAAAGCTTATGTACATTAAAATATAATGATAATAGGATAGTGTCAAATTATTCTATGATCAGATTTTCGTGATGTGGATTAACATTAAAGATTAGTTTTTTATTCACTAATATTTCTTCGAAATTTTGTAATGGATCTGAAATTACTTCATCTTTTGTATTAATATAATTTTTGGAATAGAAACAAAATATGGATGTAATTTATTTCAAAAATTTCAAAAACACAGTAGTATAGGCAAAAAAAATAGCATTTGGCAGTATGAGAACTCTCATTTTATAGATTAAAGTCTAAAATATTTTCCTTTTAAATATCCACTACCCAAATTTTACTTTATTAGTATTAGTTGTTGCTAACTTCTTACATTCATTTACAAGAAAAAATGAAGTTTTGCTTTAAATTTTATGTTTTATTGATAGAATATTCCCTCATTCTTCAAAATCAAAAGCAAGTTCATCATTATCAACAGTCTAAATTATCTGATCAAAATATTCAGAAATGTATTCTCCCTTATTAAGATTTTCTGGATTAGGATGCTTTATTTTGTTATCTATGATCCTATTAAGATCGTCTAATAGATATGCTAGGGATTCAATCTTGAAGTTTTCATCATTAATATGTAGAAGTTTCCATCTACTATATATTTTCCTGTAGTTTTCAGCAATAATATTATATCTGTTTGCTTATATAAATTCAATATACATTTCGCACAAGTAGCAACATCTTTTAGAAACTGCTATAAACTCCCTATGTTTATGATTTGAATCAATAATTATAGACAATATTCTTATCTCTGCATGTAAATATATTTGTTTTTTAATGTCTTTATCACTGTCATATTGTTGTAATTCACGTGTATCTTTATCAGTATATACTTTTTTTATTCTATCCATTATATGATGCTTTTTCGAACATGTTTTCATAAAACGATTATAGTTGTCATCATTACCAGCAAGCCTTTTGATAATATTTTTCAATGAATATATGGGCTGATTAATGATATCAGATTTCCTTTTATGCATTACAACATCAGCGAATAATCCTTTGTATGAAATATTATGTGCACATTCTATAATATCTACTAGAGATTCAGTATAAGATGCTGATACCATGTGAAGTCAATCTTATTGCGCCACAAAGATTGATGAATGATCAACGTTATTAACATCATTAACATTTTAACTTAGTTAATATTTTTATTTTATTTATTTTATTCTTATATTTTATTATTATTATCTATTATATTATTATCA